CATTACACGGGAGCTGTCTTTCCAAGCTGCCTGGGTCACTGTTAGTTTTTTGTTTTGGTTTTTAGACACAAAGGACATCTGTTTTTGGAATTGAAGGCTCTCATATAGTGTTGTGATGTGAAAACCATCTTTCTAAACAATTGGGAGAATCATCTTCCGTGTATGTGGGCTGAGGCCATGAGGACCTCGGCAGAACATTGGTGACTGGCTGTAAAGAGTGGAGTGAGTTGTGCTGATTTGCCTAAAAGATCCCACTACCTGTTCTGATTATGAAGAGCATTTTTCCTAGATGCAAATATGCTGTTTCACTGAGACTATTTCTGGAAGAGCTTGTTGCACACAAGGAAATAAGAGGAATTTGGAATGGAGCTTGTTTGGGCTTTCAAAGGATTCAGGGGTAGAGATGTGAATTATTCAGCTAGAGTCTTAACTTCCCTCTAAACCTATTTTCAAGAAAGGACCTTAAACTCATCAAATTAATTTTTGCCAAGATTTTCTATCACTGAAGATTGGTGACGAGGATGAGATTCCAGCAAAGAATGAGTATGGAACAGACAATCTTTAAGATCCTTTCCAATTCTGAGATTTTTGTGCTTCCATCCTGGGGAGGAAAATAGTCTTGGAACTCTTTACTCAGAGCTTAAATGCTGTCTCTTGTTTCAACTCAGTGATATATTTACTTCTTCTAATGTTCTTCATAGCAATATTATTTGTTTAATTTAGTCCTATTCAAAATTTCAAGAAAAGAGTTGGCTTTGAACAACAGAAAAATGTAATAGCTTGCCCTCCTTATCAACAAAGGGAAACTTCTTGTCTGAGTTGGTGGCCAGAAAAGAGATGGGTAGCTTTGCGGGTGCAACAGAGACAGTGAGGGCCATTTAGTAAACAAAAGAGGACCCTTCCCTTCCTCAATGTGTGATGTTTCTGGCTGGTTGCTGGAAGAGAGTTTCTCAATGTCATTTCCATCCCTATGGCCCTACGCATGTCAAGTTTTAAACTCAGTGCTCAGACTAGAAGAAAGGATAGTAACTTGACCTGGCTCAATAAATCAGGAAATTAAATTAGCACTAGAATAACAATATGGGGAAAATAAGATTTGAGAAATGATGCTACAAGTGAATTTAGAGCAGCCAGCTAGAGTGGTGTAGAGGTCATCCAACCCAGTAGTTGAAAAAGCAGTGTTGGGATTGTCAGGAAACCGAGGCTCTAGATCTGACTCTGCCACCGACTGGCTAGAAACCCTGGGCAAAACATCTCCCACCTCTGGGACTTGGGTTCCTCATCTATAAATAAGGTTGTGGTTTTTTTTTTTTTTAAGTCACCTAATATTTATGTAGAGTTTCCTACATCCCAGGAGCTGAGGTGAGTGTTTTATAAGGCTCTCATTTGATTCTCAAAAGTCTTGGGCCTTGGAAACTCTCAAAGAGCATTGAGAGAGACAACAGTTGAAGCAGCTTCTGCCAAAGCCTTTGGCTCCTCCTCTCTCCATTAGATTCATAAAGCAGCTCTTCCACTGCTGTTTCTCTCTGCAGGTCAAGGGACTCAGGAAAGAAACCTCCATGCAAAGATGGAAATTGTTTGGCCTGGAGAAAAGGCATTTGAGACATGACTTGGTGATCTTCTGTTTTCAGCTGGTGGAGATCTATTTCTGGGGCTGGTGGAAACAAGGTGATTGTAAAACTTGAAAAGACTAAGGGAATATATGGCCTGGCCTGAAACTGGAAGGAACTACACTAAGTGATGAATGGAATGGAATGGCCCTGAGGTCTAGAGTCTAGAAGGAACTAGATACAGGGATCATGTTACCTCTTAATCCGAAGCTTCACGGGCAGGGCTACTTTAAGAGTTCATCTGTCCAGAATGGTTTGGATCAAGTGTTCAGTGAGACATAGGAGTGCTTTAAATGAGCTCTAAAATCCCCTCCAGCCCAGCCCTATGAGATAATAAGGACTTTTTTTTTTTTTTTTAGTGAGGGGAGTAATAATTTAGCATGACAGTCACATTAAGAGAAAAGATCTTGGTAGAAATTTTACTTGGGAAGGTATAAAATGTTAAATTAATTGATGAGCTCTGGTGTACAAAATGTCACTGAATCTTTTGATCTGGTTTCTACTTTGGTAGTCGGGGCAGAGACCTCATTGGCTTGGGAGTCAGGAAACCCATTTAATCCTGGCTCTACCTATAGCCTCTTCGTTGAAGAAATGCTAATAACAATCTCTGCTCTGCCTGTTCTACAAGAATGTAGTGAGAATCAGATGAGCTACTGTATATTGGAAGTGTGTTGGAAAGAGTCAAATAGTTATCAGATATAAGATATTATACATTAGAAAAAGAGTTCATCTGTCAAAAAATAGGTGTAGCATTAGAACCAATTGGTATTTTAGGAAAGGTTCATAATTCAAATGTTCTTTCATAATTATGTGCATGGATCGAGGCACAAGAAGGAGGAGGAAGAATCGAATGGTTGTTATATAGCTGAGTCACCTTTCTATCACTTAGAAGTCAAAAATTAGACTCTAAGTTTGCTATATCAAGAAAAGAAGGCATAGAAAAATTATTCTCAGACCACATGACCTGGGCTTTGTGGGCAAGGTTAAGTCAATTTCCATGAAGCTTGAGCCAAGAAATCCACACAGAAACCAGAGAGCACAGGGCAGCTTTCCGGTTGACCAACCTCACTTCAGGTTGTGCAAACAGCTTGGAAGCCAAAAGAAAATGCCTAATATAAGATCATCCGAGCTTCTTGAGATTGAGAATAGAGTAACGTTTAGCTATTTAGGGGTACAATAGTATAGTGAAATAGTAATTGAAAAAATTATATCATGGTTTCTATCCTTGGAGAAGCTGAGAAATGAAAATTATCTCATGGGATGGGGTACTAGGCTTAATAGGTTGAATAATGCCCTTCCTGCAAAGATGTTCACAACCTAATCCTTGAAACCTAAGAATATGTCACCTTACATGGCAAAAGGGACTTTGCAGATGTGATTAAGCTAAGGGTCTTGAGATGGGAGATTGTCCTGTGTTATCTGGGTGGACCCAATGTCATCACAAGTGTCCTTGTGGAAAAGGGGTAGGGAAGAGAGTCAGAGCCACGGAAGGAGATGTGGTGACAGAAGCAGAGGTCAGAGAAAGAGAGAGAGATTTGAAGATGTTCTTCTACTGGTTTTGAAGTTGGAAGAAGGGGCCATGAATCAAGGAAGGCAGGTGGCATCTAGAAGCTAGAAAAGGCAAGGAAATGGAATCTCCCCTACCATCTCCAAAGCAACACAGCATTGCCTGACCCATTATAGATTTCTGACCTCCAGAACCGTAAGGTAATAAATTTATATTGGTTTAATCCATTAAGTTTGTCATAATTTTTTTAGTAGCAATAGGAATACAATAGGAAAGTAGCAAATAGGAAAGCAAAGGCAGGTAATTTCAGCCTGTGAAATTCTCTGCTAAATTTGACCTCTGTAAGTTGAGGAAGGGCAAAGAAACAAAACAAAAGAAAATGGTAAAACATGTCTAAAAATGATACTGAAGATCATTTGTTAACATAAATCACTAGTTTCTTTGATTCCATGGCTACTGCTATGGTTGTGAATGGTAGTCACTGGCTTCTTTGTACTTACCCTTTGCTTCCTTGCTAAGAACACGCACACACATCACTTAAAGCAGAAAAAGAAAAGTTCCGTAGGAGATGTGCCTCGACTCCCACTATAACTCCCTGCCTCTCCCCACTGATGTCTCTTTACAGGAGTCCCTCATTTCCCTATAGACCCCTCTACCCTCCCCAGCTCCTATTTCCCCCACCATCACAGGGCTTCTTGATCTTCTTTGAGGCAACTGTTTCCCAGACTCTAGGCTATTCTGAGGCAGAGGTTGTGAAGGAAAAATCTTAGGAATTCCATGGCAGGTAATGCTTACTAATGCCTGTCAAGAACAGCCTCTGGTTTACTGCAGGGTCTGTGTGGTGGGAGAATTTGGAACCAAGATGTTGCTCAAAGAGCTGCAAAGTGGCTTCGAGCTTGTGTGCGGCTCTGTCCCTGCACAGGAAGGAAAGCTGAAGGCCTAGCAGAAGGAAGCTGTTTAGCTTAATTTATGTCAACAGGGTGGGCCACTTTTTTCAATGTGTCTGTGATGGTAGGGAGAATGGCATTAACTTTTTGAAAGCCATGGAAAGAATGTGAAGTACTATGCTGTGGCGTTCAGCTAGGAAGACCCAGGTCTCAGCGTCCTGCCTGGAGAGAGCCTAGCAGGATGCAGGAGGCTGTGATTGGCTGAGACAGAACTGACCCAAAGATCAGATATGACAGATATGACCACTAGGCCATTTCTCTACAGTGATAAAACCTCTGGTTAAGTCCACCAAAGATAAGCATTAAATGGTTCAAGGCACCATTAGGGTAGAATATCTGATCAGAATTTTCATACAGGGGGCACCTGGGTGGCTCAGTTGGTTAAGCGTCTGCCTTTGGCTCAGGTCATGATCCCGGGGTCCTGGGATCGAGCCCCGCATTGGGCTTCCTGCTCCACAGGAAGCCTGCTTCTCCCTCTCCCACTCCCCCTGCTTGTGTTCCTGCCCTTGCTATCTCTCTCTGTCAAATGAATAAACAAAATCTTTAAAAAAAAAAAAAAAGAATTTTCATACAAAAAGATGGTATCAGTAGGACACTCCAGAGGTTTGAATTATGTAGGCACAGCAACAATTGTCCAAATGAGTTCATAGTCACTCTGGCCTCTCCTCTCCTCCTTCCCCCAACACACAACATTATTACAGAAAAATTACGTGTAGAAACTAGAAGTTTCTAGAAGCATTCTGCTTTCTCTTTGGGGTTTTTCCTACATTTCAAAGAGAAAGGGGTTCACCCCATTGTACCACACAGTTGTTCTCTCCCCTCATTCTCTCCCAAGAAGTATCTACCCTCTGGGGATAAAGCATTTCCAAATATGACTCCTTCAGCTTGGGCTTTACAGACTATAACCTTAAACTTGGAAAGAACAGAAACACATACATGCTCTGATGTGAAGGCAATGAGCCTGGGAACAGCAGCCATTCCTTTTTCCTTGACTTCTGGGAACATCTTAAAGCGTGCAATCAGCATGGCATACATGTTAGATATAGCACCACCTAAAGAAAGTAACAGCAACACACAGTGACCTTTTCTAGTCATTGTCAACATCATTTCACATGCAAGCAACATTCCTTATTTCCATTGACCTAGAATCCTCCTTGGACATGGGAGAAGGCCATATTTATTGGTTATCCTTTGACCTGAATCCTCAAACTCAGACTGAATCTTCAGCCTAAGAGGGTCTAGAAAAAGGAGCATTGGGCCCAACCATAGGACATATGCTACCCCTTCACATCCCAAATCTGCGACTAAACAGAACTGCCAATTGATTCTGCTCTTGCTGGGAGTCCTTTGAAGAGGTTCTTAAGAACTGAGAAATTGTTGCCTTCCTTCCCACCATGCGAACGTGGTCATTCTTCATTAGGCTTGTGGAAATCCTACTTATCTCCTGATGGAGAAAACATTTCTTTTCATTTCAACTCAGGCAGTGCCTTGCACTCACACTAAGACAAATCCGTTGTAGCTCATGGTGTGGACTATTAATCCACAATTCTTATAGAATGAGAGACGATGGACTCTGAAAAACAAACTGAGGGTTCTAGAGGGGAGGGGGGTGGGAGGATGGGTTAGCCTGGTGATGGGTATTGAGGAGGGCACATTCTGCATGGAGCACTAGGTGTTATGCACAAACGATGAATCATGGAACACTACATCTAAAACTAATGATGTAATGTATGGGGATTAACATAACAATAAAAAAATTAAAAAAAAAAGAATGAGGATAAACATCCAAGCCCATTTCATCATACTCATCTGTGAATTTCCCCAGAACAGTTCTTCCCCCTCAAAGACTTCATAGAAATACAATTGTAATAGCTGAACAAAAATCATATTTTAATGATAGGAAAACACAAAACTAAGGGAATTTTAAGTCTATGTTGAATTGCTTTTTCTGTGTCATCCTAAGATTGTCAAGGATTTCATACCATAATATTTGTATCTTATAAGTAAGGTCTCATTTGACAAGCAAAGAAAAGTGAGATTTCCCCCAAGATTGTTGGAAAGCTCAGGATTTTTGCAATACAAGAAGAAGACAGTTGTTGTGCATGCAAATGGGGATGTTGGAATGGAAGCTGTGACATCATGTGGCAGAGTGAAGCCACTATCTCCTCCTTTCCCATAGGGGACACACTGGGCTCTGCCATGATGTGAGTGTTTGAGAGTTCCCTTCCCTTTGGGTGGTTGAGGAGCAGAGGCCTCTTTGTACCAAACTGAATGGCCCCCACAGGGCCATGACTTTTGCCTCCATGCTCCCTGGGCTCCGACGCAAGCAAGCAGCCTGGCCCAGAGCAGTAACTATCCAGATCCCGGTTCTGTCATCAGTCTGAATAAGGGCAATTGCTACCTCTTCTGACCCCCAGAGACATGGGGCAAGAGGAATCCAGGTCAAGCCTGCTCTGAGCAAACACCTTGTCTAAAAGGGCTGAGGGTGTAGGATGCTGCTGGGCAAGGGACCAGCTTTTAAAGGAGGGTGTTTAGCAGCATCCCTGGCTGTTATCCACCAGAGGCTACTAGTACTACCTCCTCCCTCTCCCCCGCCACCAAGTTGTGACAATCAAGAACCTCTCCATTCATTGCCAAATGTCCCCTGGGGGTTACAATAGCCCCCAGCAGAGAAGCACTGCCCTAGTTGTTCTTGTCAGAGAGGCTGGGGAGAAAGGAGGCCAGAAGAAAAAGGGGAAGATGAACACAAAGATACCAGTCACACAGCACAGTTATTCAAGAAGCTTCCAGCTCTACCTTGCCACTTCTCATTTTGCCACTCCAGTTATTCTCTGTCTAAAGATCTAGTAGCCCTGAGAGAGATGAAGAGGATTCTGGATCGTTAGAGCAGACTGTTGTGCAGCCCAGGCAGGAGGACAGATGCATCTTCCAGAGGAAGGATGCAAAAACGAGCTCTGAATCATCAGGAAAATCCTGTCAGACTGGAAAAGGTTTGTGACTAAGCCAAAATTTCCCTTTCTTCTCTTTTGGTCCTTCATGACTTGCTGAGCAGTGAGGAATACTCCAGTTCTCTTTGGCTCCCAGGCACAGGTGACATCACATGAACAGATTTCTTCTAGAAGTCCCAGAGAACTTTCCATGAAGCATGAAGTCTCTGGATGCTATAGATGGAGGTGTAAGGTAAACTGAGCTGAGCTATGTATTCAAGTCACAGACCTAACTCTCCATGTTTAGTCCTGGGCAATAGGACTTTCAGATCTCAGGCACATATGATGTATGATTTCCCCTATCCCCACTCTTTAAATTGTAAGACCCTATACCCCAGGAATAAGGCCAGATGCTACCTGGAAAGGCATCCATTTGCAAGTGAGGATGCTATAGTCCATCTCTCCTCTGTAATGCCTTGTAGAAAGCAGAGCAGAAACAGGTTGCCAATGGCGTTTTCTTCTGTCCCCTCCCCACTTTTCAATGTCTACATTATACTTAGCATGACATCAGTGGCTTCCATCTTGGTGTGAGAGCATACAGATCTTTAGGATCCAAGGAAGGAACCCCATGATCAAGGTTAAGTCTTTCTACCTGATCATTTTCTGTCATTGATGGGGGTGTCCATACTTGGCTTAGCAGAATTGCCAAAGAAGGTTCTTTCTCTGGGTGTATATTTTCTGGGGCAAGCGGTTTCCAAGAGCAGCTAAATTAGGCCTGGCCCAAGCCCTCTCAGACAAGTTTTCAGGGTCAACAGGAGCAACTGTTCTCTTCCCACTCCTGGGGACCTTTAAAAGAGAGCTCAGGATGCTCAATCACATAACCAGCCTTGTAAGAGGGAGAAGAATAGAGGTAAAAACAATGCTGATCTTTGAACACTACCTAATTCCTCACGAAAAATATCTTAAGAGCATCAGTTCCAGGCAATGATGGCAAAGTTCCCTCAGTGGGGAATGGTTTTCCAAAGGAAAACTGCGTTCCCTACAAAATAAAGGCTAGCTTTAAATTCATCACAGCTGGTGTTTAACGAAAAAAAAAAAAAGCTAATTTTCCCTTCCATTTAACTAACATGTTTTCCTTCAGCACCTGAAAAATTGTGTTGTATCTTTAAAAGCATAAAATATAATAGCAGACCTGAGCTTGTAGGTAAAGCTCCTTAATTTAAGCCCTACCCTTGAGGCCACTGTTGCTTGCTTATAATTTCTTCTTTCCACCTGTTCTTTATTTTCTCTCTCCCTCATCATCCGCTTGTCTCTAGGTTTGCTGAAGGGACATCTCGACGTGGCCTTTGCTAGGCCTGACATAATGGCAGGTGTGGCTGTGGCCTCCTCAGCAGGGCCAGTCTCAGTGTACTGAGGGCCCGCCCCATTCTGATGACCCTCTCCTGCCACTGATTAGGTGACAGTCTGCACACCAGGTTTATTTTCCTTGGGTCAGCGACTCTCTCTCCCTACTGCCTTTCTAACTTCTATTTCTTCTCTGCGTCAAAACCAAGGTCACATACAAATCCGGAACCAAGGGCAAGGCTTTTTTTTGGTGTCAGGTTGATTCTCTTGGCTGGAAGAGGTGTAAATAATGGAGCTTAGAATCCAATGGCTGGTGATAAAAGGCAGGATGAAGAGACTGAATGGCATGATAAAGAAGAGAAGGCAAAAGAAACCTTTGGAAGGAATCAGCACCCTCTGTTTCAGCTTTAAGAAATGGTTTCCCAAGTCACTCTCTGCCCTCCTTGAAATTAAAGTCAATCAGCTTCTCTGGTTGTTATTTGAAAGGGACAGAGTACATAGGCTCAATTACGTAGATCTGCTTCATAATGCCCCTCCTGAAACAGAGAAGGCTTTATTAAATGAGGCTACCCTTTCACTAATTGTGGGAAGAGTTTCAGAGAGTGAATTCCCTTATGAGGAATCTTTATTCCTGTGTTCCACATGATCCATACATCTTCTGTGTAGGATCACAGTAGAAGGGTTGGGTAAATATCCACCCCTGTTTATCCTTTTTCTGAACACCAATAACTATTGGTCAAGTATGGGGAGTTGGCTTGGAAGCATGGTCAATGGTCATGTATTAGCACGCTCATTCTTTTGATCAACATAACCTATTTAACATAAGCAGAAACACAGACTAGATACTTAATCGCTCCTATGTTCATAACGAGGCACTGTGTATCAGAAGAAAAAACACAAAGAAAGGTTGAAATATCATATACCAGGAGAAAATATCCCATCGCCAGAGCCCCCTGGCCAGCCAATGATTTCTCTCATTTTCTTTAGCGTGACATATTCCAAGAGCACAAATACTGGAGCAATTTCATAGGTGAACCTGAAATGTAGTAATGGCCACATTTTATGTATGTAACTCGAAGAAATAATTCATCATTACAACATCTATAGAACTATTGCATGTCCCTCTTCAAGCCCTACATTCACAAAGGTTTTGATTATTCTATTGAACAGAGAGAAAATTATGTCTTCTTAAAGGTTGCCCATTTTTCTATATTCCTAAAGTTAAGAGCTTAATGCCCAAGGGTCATTTATCATATTGAATAAATAAAGAACACTGCAGAGTAATACTATTTAAAAGATATCATCTGGTCCCATTTCTTGTTCACTTTATACATAATTACAAATCCAAAATGCCAAAAAAGTGCCTTTTGTGTTTGAAAAATGTTATATAGCTTTGATTGCATGAAAGATAGATCAGGACTCTTTTCTTTTAAGTTAGAGTGAGCACCCGTATACTTCTGAAGTTTGTATCACTATGTTAGGGACTACTTAATTAAAAAGAGATTTTCACATGAGAGGTAGAATAAAGACTATGAAATCTCACTAATAATTATCCTGGATTTAAAAAAAAAACACCACATTTAACAACTTACATGTTGGTGTTTGCTGTTGATGTCAGCCAGTCTGCTGCTAGTCCAACCATATCCAGTCCAGTGGAAAGTTGATTGAAATATCTGGGATGCCCTGAATAAAAAGGAATACGAGAATCAAGACTGCATCCAGTGAAAATAAATGCCTCTCAAACACATGATTGCTCTAGCTAAAGAACCTTGAAAGATCCTTCAGTAATAGGAAATCCATATTCAGAAACCCAACATGTGCATGCATGCGTGTGCACACGCAGACACATCCAAAAGGAGCATTTCATCTAACAAGAGAGACTATTTGGGGTTTTGGTATTTCTTAAAACACACTCTCTAAAAAAGCTTCCTCTAAACATTATCCGATATAAAAAAAAAATAACAAGTGTGGTTTGCAATGTGGATGCTAGTTTATTTCCTAGCATCCCTTCAATACATTTGTAAACTAAAATGCTCGTGTAATCCAAAGCTATTCTTGTTTACACTCATGCTGCTAAAAATCCTTTTTTGTTGAAGTTGTTCTGGGAATCAGTCATATCATGACATCCACCAGGCATGCCAACATGCCAACATTCATAATGATATCAGTGACAAATGACTGATGATTACAAAAGACAACACAAAAATGAGAAAATAGGACACTTTGTTGGGTGATTTGCCCTGGATTCAAAAGGTGATGATCGTCGAAAGAGGGCATGGGCAAATTCAATTCTTGTCGATTCTTTTCTGTCCAAATACTTGATTATAAACAACAGAACTCCTCATAGTTGTGATTTGAAGTAAAGAGGGATACGGTCAACATCACTGCCCCACCAACAAGATACAAGAAGATATATTCAATGGGCTGATGAGTCCATTAGCAAGGCTTATCTAATTAACTTCTAGATTTCTCTAAAACTCTCCAAAGGAGCTGACATCCAAATACTCCTGAGGCTATTATTTAAAATGTGATTGTAAATATCTCATTAGAATTCCATTCCTTGTCTTGCCCCATAAAAGCCTATCTCTAAATCTGTGATTTGCTTGGCAGCAAAAATTTTGGAAGATTATCAATTATGGAAATAGCATCTGATAAAAAGGCAGCCCCTACTTATTGGACACCTGTCTGAAGCCTGGGGTGACGGTCTCTCAGGCCAGCATGGGCAAAACAAGATAAAGGAAGGCAATGGGGAAAACAGGGACAAAAGTCAACACAGAGCTTATCTCTAGGACTGGAGTGCTCTCTTATCAGCCTTGGGCATGTGGTTAGACATTTAGACACCGGGAAAAGATAGGAGCTGGGAAAGGGCACATTTCAAAGAGACTGGGATTTGTGTGGCTCTCGCTCATGCTCCGGCATTGTTTTGCTTCCCTGTGGCTGTGCACAGTGCCCTTCTACCTTTTCGCTCTTTACCAGGCCCTCTGATGCTGACCCTGTCAGTTTATGCATCCAGGCAAAAGGAGAAAGCCCCTTTGCTGCTGCCGCCTGGGCCATGGTCTGGAACAGCCCTCCCCTCTCTGCCTCATTGACTCCCCATTTCATTAGAGCTCACAGCTGAAATCACAGCCGCCTCTCCCTCCTGATTCCCCTTCATTTCTCTTTCCCTAAGCCATTTCCTTAAAGTGAGGAAATTAATAAAGATTAGCAAATCAATCCATTAATCTACTCTCCCAATTCATATGCATTTTCTGGATGAATCTGGTGTCTATTATCACACACTATTTAACTCTCTGGAAACTTTGGCATGAAAAACCTCTGCAAAAAAAATTGAGAGAAATTCCAAGGCCTGTGTCTGGCCCCAGGATATCAAAAGGCCAATCCACCCTGCCCACTGCCTTTGGAAAACTGGGAAGCAAATTTGAGGCTTCAATGGCTTGACTCGCTTTTCTTTCTTTCTTTCTTTTTTTTTTTTACCTTGGTCGCCCATGGCACCTGAATGTCTCGTGCCTCAAAATTTTCATTCACTGATGGTGATGTGATAAAAATGGAAGGAGATAGTTTGACAGGTTAGAGCAACATGTCCTCTTGATTTCTGCAGAAGTGGGCTGCAGAAATATTCTATTTGCTCCTTTCCCGTGACCCCCCCCCGCAGGCTGCCGGCGAATCCAGGCAAGGCTCTCCGAGAGAAAGGGTGGGAGAGACCTGCCTTGGAGGCCCCCAGCTGTCCCAGCCGGCCTGGGCATCCAGCTGCCGCCGCCGCCCCCACCGGGCCCGGGAATAGGCGGCCACGCGCAGCCGGGCAGACAGCGAGGAGGAAACGTGAGATTAGAGCCGCTCACGCCTCTGGAACGCTCCCCACTGATTAGCAAATGAGCCAGGAAGGATGCCCAGGCTCGGCCAACGACCAGCCCCGGGCGGCCTTGACCCCCTTGTCCACCATCAGTTGGGGAGGGCCCCAAAGTCGGTCCAAACTGCTCTCCGTGTAGCCACAGCACGCACCCAAGGACGGCCTCATTTATGATGCTTCCATTTCTTTGTCTGATGGCTCCGTTAAAAGACTCATTAACCCCTGCACTCCCCAACCACCATCACTACCACCAAGTCCAATGATCCCCGAAAATGTTATTTATTCTAAAATACTATCATTCTCTGCAGTTTTCAGTTTTCTGTTCCAACAGTTCTTACAGACGGAATTTTAACAATACAGGACGACTTCCACTTGCAAGTATTTAACCCCACTGCCCCTCACTCCTCTCTAAGCTTGGAGCCCAAGTGAAAATTAGATTAAGGACTCTCAGTAGAAAGCAGGTGCTAACATATTTTATAAAAGCATCTCCCTAAGAGAACTAAAATGTCTAATGGTCACAGAGGTGGTAACTACTTTACAGACCCTAAATAGTACTAGTCGTCAAATACCAGTTATAGCATAAAAACCTGTAAGCTTGCTAGTCAAAAAGAGGTGACCGGTGTTACTTCTTTGAACTGCTATTTAGGGGTGGAATGGGGAAGACCAGAAGACTACATGTGTTATGAATAATATTGATATTGATGCTTGGAAATCCAACGTAATCCTATTTTCTCCTGAACTTTAAATAAAATGCATTAGAACTACATTTGACCAACAATCTCACAAGCATTATGGCAAAGTCTAAGAATTGAATTGCCCCATCTTCTCCTAACACTAAAGGAAGCATTGATAGACAGAACTATGACTTTCATTGACTTGCAATTCTCATTATCTTAACTCTTTAAATTACATGTCAGACATCACCAGCTTTTAAGGATGAAGATGTAAAACATTTTTATAGGTTCTTTCCAGTTTGGTAGCAATAAAAATAATAGGTAGCAACCTACTATTATTACATTTAAATATTAGGTTAGGGGAATGGATCAAACAAAAATGAATTAAAAACACTATTCAGGTTTGCCCCCACAGATACATCAAAAGCTGGAAGAACATCTTTAATGCCTAGTATATACATCATGTGGATTCTCTGTGAACATGATTGAGAATGATAGCTAATAAGCCTTCAAAATTCATATTCCACAGACCAAGTGTGGTCAAAATCACCAAGTTAAACTCCTTTCCCTATGCACCTAGTTTTACGTCTATAGTCTCACAAAAGTGGATACTAATAATGCAGCAGATCCATTTCCTTAGGCTTCTTCTCTGCATACTTTTCCTCTCTATTGGTATAACGAATGGAAAAACAAAACCAAAAGTAGTAGCTAAAAGTCACACAGCAAACATTCTTAAAATGCTTGTGGTTGATTAGAGCAATATGATAATTCATTAACCAAAGAAATGGCAACATAAAAAATCAAGTTCCTGTGGTAATTAATATTCATGTGACATTTTTAGTTGCTAGCGGATCTTTTTTAAGACTACAAATCAATTTAGATCCACAAGGTCTTCTATCCCTCATGAAATTCATTCATACCTATTTTTATTGCTTTAATGAAGTATAGTGGATCATGCATCAGCATGATTAGAGACAATGCAGGAAAAGAAGCGGTAATCATGACCTGGGGAGATAAATAGCTGATTTTGTGTAGATAAAATGAAAGCTTACAATGTGCCCAAATAAATGTTACTAATAAATAAATACTATAAATAAATAAATAAACAGCGTATGAAGACAACTGTGAAAAAAAGCAATAGATACAAAATACATTTTAAAATAAGGATATTTCATTCCCCTCCCCCACCCATTTTCTTTATTTTATATTCAGAATGGCTATGAAGCACACACATCCTTGTATATAACACCGCTGAATTGTTAAGCTAGTTTGTATTGTGTTTTCTTTTGTGGACATTTCTTTAAAAAAAGAGAAAACCTGGGGCTCGAATCTGAAGTCCTGGCCATTTGAGACAATGCCAAAATATTATCCCCCTGTTGCAATGATTACATAGGATGGTTTATCCAATGTCTGACCATTCCTATGCCAAAGAAATGACTAGCACTACACTAGTATTGGGTTTTTGTTTGGATCATGCCTTTTGAGGTTTCATTTCCATATTCCCTTCCTTTCTCCATTTTGGGTCACTTCTACTGGCCTCTGCTGACAAATGGTTGCTTCTACATCAGTGGTTAATCTCTGTGGCCAAATACGTGCAGTGTAAAATCTGATGATTTATACTTAATGCGTTTATAATGTTTCTGATATCAACTTCAGAAGCATGACCATTAATAGTAAAGGGTGACTTTGCTTCATATCATTCTAATAATGACTTCTTTTAATTGATGAAAATAACTCTGTTAATTTGAAAATACCAGTAACTCCATAAACAGAAAACATTTTTATATAAAAAATAAAAATTGTAAAAGGAAAAAAGAGCTTTATTATTTTTGACTGGACAATACCTGTTTTAATTGCATACTTTAGAGTCGTTTGGCAATGCATCAAAATTTCCTCCAAATTTTGTGGTTGGTCTGCCAATTCCCAGTTATACTCTTGAAGGAGCTCATTAGGGTAATGGAAATCAATCACTTTGGTTGATCTATCGAAACTTTTCACCACATACTGAAGCAAAATGTCCATAACATCTTGCAGAAATGCCAAAGTGGGCCTTTCTCCATCACACGCTGGCAGCAGGTCTAAAGAATGGAATCAAAATGCCACATTTTAATTTTACTGTGGAAATATCCAGGCAAGATCTTGATTTGGCAATTTTTCTTTGGACTGAGAGATTTTGTGCTTAAAAAAAAAATCTGGAAACGCAGAGCATTTTCTTTAAATGGGAGGTATTTTTCAAAGACAAAGGAAAAAGAGAAATTGAGATTTCTTCCCCACCCCAAGTTAATTCTTTGCATTTCAATCCATAAGGTATTGTTTGCTTCCTTTTTTAAAAGGAGTGTGCCTCCATTCATCTGTTTCACCGGGGTCCGTCCTAAATGTTACATCTCAGTAAATCATCTTAAATGATTATGGAAATACGTCACATCGGAATGTTTGAGGAATGCCTTTGGGCAAATCAGGCAAAGTGGAGCATGCAATGTTAGGATCCCTGACCCATTAAGATGGCTCGCTGTTTCCTAAGTCAGTGTGTGTGTGTGTGTGTGTGTGTGTGTGTGGGTGCGCGCGCGCGCGCGCGTTTAGGTGATTGGGTGTGTAAACACAAGGGAGTAAAAACGCCCGCAGGTCTCACGTGAATAGAATAGTTCCCCTGTGAAACCGCAGCTATGAATTACTCTTGCGATCTAAAGACCTAGAAAGTCTCATCAACCAAGTCCCACCCGTTTCAGCGGCCACCAAGAAGCCGACCTCGAGGTCCAGCGCGCGCGGGGACCTCCGCCAACCGCAGACCCGCGGGCGGCACTGGGGCAAGAGAGCCGCGGCCCGAGAATCCCCTTGGAACGCCCGCGCCCAGCGCTGCGCAGAGGCCGGGTTGGGGCTCAGACGGAAGGGACAGGCCCAGTGTTTCTCGCTTTCAGCTGAAGATTCACGTAAGGTCCGCCTCCGCCCTGCTTCTCCACGACTCGGGTCAGGCCCCTGTCATCGAGTCCCTTCTGGTTGCGGTGGGTGGGACAGTGCGAGGGACAGTGGCTCCCGGGGACCCCACGGGGCGCCTTTACCTGTTGCATGTAGAAACGCATAGTTGACATCCGCTTTGGGGCAGCTGCAAGGCTTCTGATTACAAGCGCAGGCAGCCTTCCGGGAGGTGGCCCGCGGGGGCTCGCTCCCGCCACTCTCCGCCGGCTTCTCGGCGTCTCCGTAGAGCAGGGCTAGGCAAGCACATCGAGAGCGCTGGTCAGCCGCCCGCCGGTCCCAGCTCCCTCGCGCCTGCCCATCCCCGGCCAAGCAACCTCAACTCCGCTGTTGGGGATGAGGAGGTGAGAAGGCCACACTGCCCCCGCGGGACACAGAGGCGACTGACTGGCCGTTTTCGACTCCCTCCCCCGGCACGGGCTGGGCACTCACCGCACAGCTTGTTTCCGATGCCTCCCGTGAACTTCTGGGCCACCTGACACCAGGCTCTCGCTGCAAGGAAAGACAGGTAGGCGTACAGCGAGGCAGAAAGAGGAAGCAGACAACGTGTGAAGTTTCCTTCTACGGGAACAAATGCACTAAACCCGGGGTTCAGAAAGAGGCCGTCCTGGGCTCCGCACAAAGGACAGGTGCAGGAGGGTCACGGGAGCCAGGCGGCCCGGCCCAGCCCAGCCCGACCTTACGTTCCCTGATTTCTTTCCAAGAGCTCAGAGACTCCAGCCCTTTGCCCTTGCCTTCCAGGTGCCAGTAGGTTCAGGCAAACTCCCCTTCCTGCCTTGCTCCAGTGAGTTTTCCTAGATACCGAAGCTGTCCATTTTCCTCGCAGCCTCTCCTTCCAGACCAAGAATTCTATCTCTTCCATTTTTTCCCTTTCCCCACAGCCACTCTATCCCTCTACAGGGTCCAGACACCAAGATGGTGGCAGTGCTCCAGGCCCACGGAATTCGGTGTCGAGGAGACGCCTCTGCGTTTGGGGGCTCTCCCAGACTTCATTGAAAAGGGTCTGAGATTCTTTGGGTGTCTTTCCAAGGGATAAGGGCCTGTGAGGTTTTGGTCTCTTGGGCCATCAGGGACCTACAGCGAGAGCAGGGCCAAGTGTCCGAAGTTTCCTGTTGCAGGTGGAAAAACCTCCTTCGTCTTCCTTAGCACTGCAAACCCCATTCCACCCGCAAAGCTCGCCTGCTGCAGGCCCCTGTTCCCCTACCTGTGCCGGGGTTCTCGGGATCCCCGGAGCCATCTTCAGACCCGAAGGACCAAAAGCCGGAGCCTGGAGATGCCATCAGCGCTGTGAGACTGGAGCGGGTCGCCTCCAAGTGCGAACTGTCGGCGAGCTGCCCTCTGCTCGGCGCTGCGCGCGCCTGCGTGCGTGTGTGAGTGTGGCGGGAGGAGGGCACGGCGCGGGGACCGCGCGGCCGTGCGGCAGAGGGTGGGTGTCACACAGCGACAGGGAACGTGCGTGTCTGCGTGTGAATGCGTGTGTGTGTTGGGGTTAGGGCTTAGAGACGTGGCAACTCTCTCGGAAGGCTGAGGTTAAATAGGGAAGGAGACCGAAGGGTCCGCGGAGCAGGGGTATGGGAAAGCGCCGAGCACCCGAACTGCTTTTGAAGGAGGAGTCCAATCCGGATGGATGAGGGGGCGACGGAGAGAAAAAATGGGAGAGGGAGGGTGCGAGGCAGACAGCGCTCACGAGCTGGAGTCAGAGCGTGTGGGTGGGAGGCGTGCAGGGGAGCCCCCGGGGAGCGCTAGCCGCTAGCCCGCAAACAGCCCCCGCGGGCTCGGGTGCGCTGTCCCGAGTGCTAACGCTGCTGACTGCGCGCCGGCTTCAGCTAGGGGTAGACCGGAGAGACCTTGGCGAGGCGGAGCGGGTGGCCGGAACGGGTCTCATGCAGGCATCGATTGGCGTATTGTTTGAGGTCTGGCTCCTGCTGCCGGGAATGCGGCGCGGAAATCGCGCCGCCTTCCTCCAAGACGGTGCTGAGGTCGCTGTGACCTCGAGAGCCCCGGCGGCTGGGCTGGAATCACAAGCGGTTCGTGAGCTTGGGGAGGGGACGGTGGGGGCAGGGCGCCTACGCGCTTAAGGGCTCATTTCAGCTCCTTAGTAGAGCCTGACGCCTTCCTATCCAGCCGCGCGGTGCTCGGGAGCGCGTCATTCCTGTGCTTCGGAGAGCGCGGTCGCTGAACCCACCGTCCAGGATCTGACTGACGGGACTGACGGCTGGGAGAAAGAATGCTGATTGAGAGGCAATTAAAATCCACGCAGGAGCCTATCACCGAGGACCTCGGGCTGGGGAAAAAAATAAAAGGAATGGAAACTTCTTGGGGAGGGGGGCGAGGGAGAGCAACTAGAATCAGCAGGCAGGATTGACGGCTCATGGGGGATGGGATCGGGTCATTCAGCGACCTTGGCCCGCGGAGGCGTGGAAGGGTTTGCTGCTTTCGTGTGACCTGAATCGATGTGTGCGTGGGAGGCGTGCACAGAGTTTCCGGCTAAGCAATCTGAGCTTTCCAAATTCAAGGCGGAAAGAAGGCATCGCCTGCTGGGCCCCTCGAGTCAGTAGGCCTCAAATCAATGGTCTCCTCCCCCCCGGACCCTCCCTCTCCCCGAGAATCTTCACGATAGCCGGGGGAGGGTGGTGGGGCCGGCGAGATTCACTATTTCTGAGGCCTGGTGGGAAGGGGTTTCTTCTTTTCTGAGAAAGTCAGCATCTCTACTCTCTTACAATTCCTGTACTTTAAAAGCTGTTAAACAAAGGGAACACGCCCTGAGATTTTCGGGCTCCGTTGAGTTCGCGTTGCTTTCCCTTAGTAGCGGAGATCAGCGTCACGTACACCTTGCGGCTCCTGGGCTCTCAGAGAGAGAGGCTGAGGAAGACCCTGGTGGGGAAAGGCTGCGTCCTGCTTCCGCCGCGTGCATTCCCTTGAGCGAGCGTTTTTCATTTCCACTCTGTTCACAAGCCCTCATTTCTTTGCCCTCCTGAATCAAGTCACCAAAGTTGCTGTCAAAGCAGAGACTCACGGATCTTCAGTCTTGGCCACCGCCCGTGGATCCTCGCTTAGGAAGGGCGTCGTGGGGCCTCGGTGGCCGCATTCAAGCCCAATTCCTATGTTCCCAAACCCGCGGGGGCCTGGTAAAGTCTCTCCACGAAGCTTTGTCTTCTTCCGTGCCCGAGCTGGGAGTCGTGTCGGGGAAGGGCGCTGGCCAAGGTCCTGCCGTAGACTTGGCGCAAAGCCGGCTGCGTCGAGAAGCCTGCATCAGGCTGCGGGCGCTTGGTGGGCATGGACCCAGGCCTCAGTGTAGCCACCTTCTCCGGCGCTCTTGGCTTCAGGTTACAACGCCTGGGTGTGAAGACTTCGTGGTTGGGCCGTCTGCTCGCGGGCAGGGCAGCTCCGCCGCTCTTGCTCCATCAGTACAGATCCGAGCCAGAGAGATCAGTTCTTTGTTTAAATCCACCTCAAATCCTGCTAAATGTTTTGCTTCGACCCAGCAGGATGGGGTTGCAGAACTTTTCTGCAATGAGTAAGTGGTCGAAGACATAAAAATTCTTTAAAACGAGCGTTTAAAACACACTCACAAATCCCCGAAGGAAGAAACAGATTAAAACAGGGAAGGTAGAAACCACACACCTGGATTTAACATAATAATTTTTTTAAACGCGACTTAAAATCCCACTGTTCAAACTCGATTAAATCCCCGCAGCTCTGGAGTACTTTGAATCTAATGGTGGTATTTACATTTTTTATTTAACACACCCTACTTCTCAGCACTCAGGGATCTGATTTGTCTTTCCTTAATGTGGTCCCTCCCTAGACGGCAATTTGCTTTATAAAGACTTTGATTTGGAAAAAGAGCCCACTCCCCCCCCACTCCTGGGCTTGGCGTAGGAGATAACAAAAGAGCTCAGGGCGGTAATAATTACAGTCATTAGTTCACAAAGGAGGCAGCCACCAAATGGGAAAGGGAGGTGGGCCAGTGCTCTGGGGAAAAGCTTTGGATGCCTCTTCCTCAATAGGGGGAGAGAGAGACCCATGCTCCAGTGGCTGCTCTCCTGGGCGGGTTTCCTGGGTTGACCTATTTCTTGTCTGTGGATTATCCAGAGATCGCATTGCAGGTCTCCCAAAAAAGAATGTCTGCCAAGAGTTTTCCCTTGTGTCTTCCCAGTGTTCAAATGTCGAAGGACAGAAAGAGGGAGATGGAAAGAGAGAAAGAAAAAGGAGAGAAAACAAAGAAATACAAAAGAAAAAAGGGAAATAAAAACACTGAAACCTTTCACCGAGCGTTTGTGATTTCCTTTTCCAGTCCCACTTAAAAAGGGGGTGGAGAGTTTAGGGAGGGCGCCTACTGCCTCCCAATCCAGCGACGGAAGGCCCGGGGTTGCCAGGAGCCACTTCGGAAGCTTGAAGAAGAGGCCTGGCAGCAATGCGGAGCTCAGCTTTTCCCCCCAGGGGGCCTCCGGGTGGTGGGTGGATGCTTGGTTTGGGGCATGGGGACTCGGGTTCCAGAATCTCTCGCCTCCTTGACAGTGCACCGTGCCCGCAGCGCTGGTTTCACTGGTGCCTGTGCTAGGCCCAGCCTGCAGCCCGTCACAACTGAGCTGTCGGTCCCCAAGGGGTGACCCCGAGCAGAGGCCGCAACGAGAACTCACGGAAGGAGCAGCGCCTATAACGCACACTTAAACTCTGAGCTCGGTCCTGCCACAGCGGGAGGTTCCCCCTCGAGCGGGTCTCATTTGTAAAATGAAGAGGTTGTACGTACGAGGCATCTCTGGGGGACCTTTCGGCGTCAACATTTTGGGTTGGAGAGCACCTTACATCTGGTGGGCGAGCGGCTCAACAGACATTCACCCGCCCTCACTCGATCCTCCAGAATCTCCCCGAAGTCTCCTGGCTTCGGGCCGCAGGTGCAACGTACACCACCAGGAGGGACAAGCCGCATCCCAAAACCCTTCTCCCAATTCTGTTGTCCGTGAAATCACCTCGCCGTCCTTCCTGACGCTCTTCAGACAGCGTAGACACGGACGGCGTCAGTTTCACAGAAGAGCTCAACCCAGGTTTTAAAATAAGATGCAGTCGACTGAGGAAGGCAAACCTCTGCCCACCCATTGCCCTCCCCTCTCTTAAATACGGCAAAATTCGGAGCCCAGGATATTGCCTCAAATTTGCAGACTAGGAGAACCTAAAAAACCTGACAGTTTGCTCAGTGGCGGGGCTAGAGGTGTGTGTGCGCGCGCGCAGGGTCGGGGGTGGGGGGATTTGGGAATTTGTCCCGAGGCCATGATTGGGTCGCAAGACCTGGGTATGTTTGGGATGGTTGGAGGCCGGGACTGTTCGCTGGTGGAGACAACAGGCACCGTCGCCCCCCTGCCTGGGCACCTGCACCTGCACAGCTGGACAGGAGGAGTCCAGCCCTAAAGGGGAATATCGGGGGACCAGCCCCGAAAGCCACGGACTTTCCAAGGCACTTTCTTTATTTAATAAGCTCAATAACCACGGGAAGGGAAAGCGCGAGTGTGAGATGAAGTTCATCTTCAAAGCTTCCCACGCCCTCTCCTCTCCTCCCACCCGAGCTGTTTTGCTCGGCCCTCGAGTGTTCCGCGGGGCTGGGAGAGCCGTTTCCAAGGAAAAAGAGATCTTTGAAGTCATCCAAAACGAGAGGGGAGGGATCGGCGAGAGCTCAGGCGCAGTCGGGTCCACAGGAGTTGTAAATGAGTGAACAAAGAGATACACAGGGGGCCAGGGATAGGGATGCCCCGACTGGCGGGCTGGTGGGAGTAGAGGGTGCCGGAGCGCGGAGACACGGCGTCCGAAAAGATCTCACTTCTCCGCCTTCGGGGAGGCTGGCCCAGGCACTCGAGGGGCGAGCGCAGCGGGCAGCCCCTGCCAAGGTCAGGGCCGCGGCTTTAGCTTCCTGTGGTGCCAGCGTCCGAGGGTCTCCCGCTTGGCCCCTGCAAAGCCCCGCAGTCTCGCGCACATTCTCATGGGATGGCCCCCAGAACAGCCGGGCTACACCTGCTGCACGAGGCGCTGCCGCTGGGAGGTTTTGCGCAGGAGCCTCCTGTAGTCGTAGGGATTGGCTGCGGAGTCGCTTTCCTCCTGCTCCTGGTTCTCACCCGCCCAGCACCTGCAGCGAGACCCAGGGCCCGAGAGTGAGCGGCGCCCGCGCCGCCCCGCCCACCCAGTTAGGCGATTCTGCTCCTCCCACCTCCAACCAACTGCAGGCAGTTAAGAGCCACACATTCAAAACATCAGGATAGTGGACAAATGCAGCTGCATAATTTTCTCAGCAGGTTTTAGCACCTTAATTTTTTTTTTTAACACATTTTGGTCAAGCAGGAAAATTCAAAGTGCCTAAATAGACAACCCTCGTTTTGCATTTTAAAACTGCTCAAATGTTTCTCCGAAGCCCTCCTCCCAAATCTGATCAACCACTGTTAGCTCTGGGCCTTTCAGCTATTTCAAGGAGGCTGTTGGGCCGCCCTTCCCGAACCTACCGCTGGGAAAGTCTACCAACTTTACCTTTAGATTCTGCAACTTGACTGGGGAAAAAAGATGCTCCCTTATGCAGCTACATAGAAGCATTCATTCACTTATGTGGTACCTACTAAGTATTAGCCATCAGTGTAGGCTAAAGGTGAACAAAAGTCCCTACTCTATGGAGTTTAATCTAGTGTGGGAGAGGACCATTGACAACCTTAATATGCCAGGTGGTGAGAGATGCTATGCAGACAAGTAAAGCGGGCTAATAAGGTAAGACTGTTGGAGGTGTGTGTGTGTGTGTCTTCCTGTACAAGCAATTTCATTGAGGGTGACCAGGAAAGGCCTCTCTGATAAGGTGACATTTGAAAAGATACCTGAAGGGATGAGGAGGGGAGAGCAGGCAGATCTCTTAGGGAAGAGAGGTCAGTCCAGGATGATGGGTCAACCAGCATTAAGGCCCCAAGACTACAGTATGTGTACTGTGTTCAAGGAACAGCAAGGAGGCCACCGTGGCTTGAATGAAGTAAGCAAGTGGTGGGGGGGATAGCAAGGATTGAGAGCAGGAGGAATGAAGGGATAATGTGGCAGAAAATTGAGTGCTTTGGGACCACGGCAAGGATTTGAATTTTACTTAGACCTAGACAGACAGTGGAGGGATATGAGTGGAGGAATGGTTCATAAAAGGATCTGGCTGCTTAAGTAAGTAAAGTAAGGAGGTCTGTTATGAGATATTGCAATAGTCCCAGCCAGACTGAGAGTGGCTTGGATGAGGTTTGTAGAAGAGGAAAGAACTGATCAGGTTTTGGTCATACTTGAAGGCAGAACTGAAAGAGTTTGCTGATACATTGGGTGTGGGTTGTGAATGAAAGGAATCAAGAATGTCTCCAAGGTTTTTGGCTTAAACAACTGGAAGGGTGAAGTTGCCATTTAACGAGATGGGGAAGGTTATAGGAAGAGTATATTTTTTGGGGAGAGGGGGATAAATATTATGGTTTTGGTTTTGTAAAGTTTGAGATATTTATTAGATAGTCAAGAGGAGATAATGAATAGGCAGTTGGATGTATAAATCCCAATCTAGGCTAGAGATTTCAGTTTTGGAATTTCAAGTAGACAGATGATATTTAAGGTGAAGAGAGTATGTGTTGATAAAGCAAAGGACTGGGACACTCCAATGTTAAGAGGTCCATGAAATGAGGAGGTATCAGCAATGGAGAATGAGAAGGAGCAGCCAGTGAGGTAGGAGGCAAATCAAGGGAAGTACTGTCCTGGAGGCCAATGAAGAAAATGTTAGGACAATGAAGAAAATGATAGGACAAGATAAGGACTGAGAATAGATCATGGGATATGGCAGAACTGAGGTCATTTGTGACCTTGGTAGGGGCAGTTTCTGTGGCGTGGTGGGGAGGGAATCCTAAGTACAGTGGCCCATGAGAGAATGGGAAGCAAGAACATTGAGAAGGAAGGATCGCTCTCGTGTAACTCTCTTGCTATCATGAAGAGCAGGAACACGGGGTTTGGAAGGGGGATTGAGTCAAGTGTGTTTTTTATGATGGGTCCAATTGCATCATGTTCACAGATTGTCAGAAATGATGCAGTAAAGAGGACAAACATTCAAGATGCAGAAAAGGGAGGGGATAACTGCAGGACAATGTTCTTGAGCAGAGGGAAGGACCTGGATTCAGTGCACAACAGGAAGGTCTGGCCTCAGGTAGGACAGACAGTCATCTGTAGTAAACTGAGGGAAGTCTATGGGTAAGTGGTAGATTTGGCGGTGGGAGTATGTGTCTGTTCTCTATATTTTCTCATTAACACAGGAAAGAAGGTGAAAGCGAGGAGGTTTTGAAGGTTTGAGAGAGAGGAAGGGGTCTTGAAAGAGTGGACTTGGACAGTGGGACAGTGGAATTTTAGGGAAATAAAGTATGACAAAATAACTCCAAGGGCTCAGGTCTGTGCTCATATAGCTTGAGTGAGATTTGGTTGTGTTTTTGTATAGCCATGTACAGCTGTGTAGGTGCAGGATTGAGGATTGGGCAGAAACTTGGGTTTATGGAATGGATTGGGTAGAAAGTTGAGTTTACCCAGCACTGGGGTTTGCCAATTGATTATAACTGAGGGAGAAAAGGGCAGGGTCATTGAAGGTATACGTAAAGCAGTGAAAATAATAATGAAAGGAGAGGGCTTGACTTTTGCTTGCAGATGAATATGCCCTTATTCTGGTCCATTCTGAATAGGGAATTAAAAAAAAAAAAAGACACCATTGGGAAGGTCTTTAGGGCATTTTGAGCTCAGTGGATACTTGACAGGGAAGGTCTTTGGGTAGCATCATCATGGGCATCTATGGGGCTGGTGATCATTCTCTTCTGATTAACTGACTTGAATTCTCATTACCTATTCAGTTCATTTCTGTTATTATGAGAATACTGAGTATCAACCCTCTGCCAGTTACACCACACATTATCTCTAATTCTAAGGACAGCATGGCAAGACCTGAGGTTCTCCTTAGCCTCGATCTGCAGATGAGGAAACGGACTGGTTCTACTTGATAGAGCAAGTGAGGAGTGGAGTGAGGATTCAAATCCATGTCCACATCACTCAAATCTCATACTTTCCCCATTGTATCCCTTTGTCTCTTTTCTGCTGATGCTTCCTTCACGATTTACCTATCCCCTAACCAAGGCACTCTTGTTCCATTTTATTTTTTTTGCTTACCATCCTCCCTATATCTCCTTGTCATAATTAAAATCTGGCCATGCCTTAAAAACCCCACCTTTCTCAGTATTGCTCAACAGAGAGCCCACTAAGACTCACCTGAGGAGGAGATGAGGGAGACATCAGTTCTGTTATTTTCTAATGACATTCTCTAATCACTACCTGCTACTACTTTTACTCATTTAAAATCCATGAAACACTCAACTTCATCACTGCTGTGGTCCCTGATTCTCAGACCTACTCACACCTTCCTGGGTGACATTAGTACTGGTGTGTATGTGCTAATTTCTGTGCTAAGTTTTAATTCCTGCACATGATATACACACAGGGGTGTATATATAATATGTAAAATATTATCAGAATAATATGTTTACTTATAAATATATAAAACAGTATACTTATATATAAGATATATATTTGTCATATAATTTAATGTATATAATAATTATATATATATATATTCTTTCTGCAATAATATCTTCCAACATACAGTTTGATGCCAAGTTTCTCTAATTGTCCCCAAATGTCTTTTAGAGCTGTTTTTCTGTTTCTTTTGTTTTCTATTTTATTTATTTATTTATTTATTTATTTATTTATTTATTTATTTATTTATTTATTTTAGAGGTAGAATTCAGTGATTCATCAGTTGCACACAACACCCAGTGCTCATTACATCACCTGTTTTCTATTTAAATCCAGGGTCCCATCAAGGTTTACTTAGGGCATTTGTAGCTTTGACTCTTTAGTCTTCCTTAGCTTAGAAAAATCCCCTCTTGGAGTTACCTTGTTTAGCTTTGTTTGATCGTTTACTTTCTCTCTAGAGTCAAGCTCTTTGGCGATAAGGATGACACTGTGTGCACCGTTGTGTCCTCTCCTTCCTCAAGCACCCAGCACAGGTCTTTGCACGGGGAGGCAATAAAGAGTAGTGGTCCACGTCATTGACTCTAAACTCTAAAAGGTCTGTGTTCGAATTCTGGCTCCCTCACTTCTTATCTAGGTGACTTTGCAGTTATTAAACGTTGTTGACTTAGCCTCCTCATCTATAAAATGGGGCAGTAAGAGGAATTGCTATAAGAATTAAATGGGTGAACAGCATAGCGTCCAACCCAAAGGAAGCACTCAGCCAATGCTAGCTTCTAGCATTCTCATTCTAGTGAATACTAAGTACACGTCTACAGATACCGCTGGAACCCCAGGCAGTATTTCAGGGATATAATGCTTTTACAGCAGATGTGTGTCTGTGCTTGGGGGAAGGGGAGAAAGAATATACTAGAGAGGATGTAGATTGGGTTGTTAAAATGGGAAACAGGTAAGTCAGTGGAAAGCAATTTGAGCAGGAAGTGAAAAACCTTGGATTTTAGTTCACTAACTCAGTGTGTGACTTGGGGCAAGTCACTTAATCTTTCTGGGCACTTGCTATTTTCCTGTGTAGAACCCTGTGACTAGACTAGAACATCTAAGCTCCACCAATATGTTACAGTTCTTGATCTCAAGATGGAAGAAACACATCTTCTTTTGGAGACAAGGGGTGGAAATCAAGTAGATTCTATAAAAGCAAATAAAGATGAAAAGAGCCACCATCTCTGGAACCTCTCCCCTATGCCACATCTGCTGTTAAGTGCTTCACATACACCATTTCACTTAATCTCTTTGACAACGCAGTGAGGTAGTTATTAGTGAAACCTTTCCAGATGTGGAAACAGGCTCAGAGGGGTCTGGTAACATGAGCAAGGTCCCTCAACTACCAAGTGGCAGAATCAGGATCCAAATCTAAGACTGACTGACTCTAAAACCTCTTCTCTTAACTGCGAGGTCAATACTGTATAAGAGACAGTGAGGGCTGTGAGTGCCCGAGGCTGACAGATGTTCACTTAGGATTTTGGAAGAATAGCTTTCTGTTGCCTGTCGTTACTCCCATTTCTTGTATATCAGGTTTCCACTTTATTTTGTGCCTTCAATTTCAAATAATTTGGGCGCCTGGGTGGCTCAGTTGGTTAAGCGACTGCCTTCGGCTCAGGTCATGATCCTGGAGTCCCGGGATTGAGTCCCACATTGGGCTCCCTGCTCAGCAGGGGGTCTGCTTCTCCCTCTGCCCTCTTCCCTCTCGTGCTCTCTGTCTCTCATTCTCTCTCTCTCAAATAAATAAATAAAATCTTAAAAAAAAAAAAACAAATAATTCAAATTCAAAGAATTTGCCCTCAAATTCACAAAGAGTTTTTTTTGGGGAAAAAATTCCCAAAGTAGTAAGTAAGCTACAAATGGTTTAAGATACTTAGTGTCAAACAAAGTTAGTGGAGAACTGAGAAATCAAATCTAAAACACGTATTTTGGGATGCCTGGGTGGCTCAGTCAGTTAAGTGTCCATCTTCAACTCAGGTCATGATCTCTGGGTCCTGAGATGGAGCCCTGCATCAGGTTTCCTGCTCAGCAAGGAGTCTGCTTCTCTCTTTCTCTCTCCCTCTGCTCCTCCCCACCACTCATTCTCTCTCTCTCAAATAAATAAATAAAATCTTTAAAAAATCTCCCCCAAACCCCACATATTTCCATACGAATCTTTCTTCCAGATATTATTTTGGTCTGATGTCATGGATTCTGAGAAATCACACAGCATAACTGAGAAGCCAGTAAGTGTTTAAGATTACATTGGTTAGAACTTAAACACAGATTTTGGATACGGTTTATTGCTTGTAGTCAGTATGACCATATAATTTATCATCCAAAGTGAGGTATTTCTTAAATTAAAAAAAAATTTTTTTTAAAGATTTATTTATTTGAGAGAGAGCACGCGCGCACATGCCTGCAAGTCAGGGGAGGGGCAGAGGGAGAGAATCTTGAAGCAGATTTCCAGCTGAGCCCCGAGCCCGCCACGGGGGAGGGGGTGGTGGGCATGGGGGAGGGGCTTGATATCACAACCCATGAGATCATGACCTCAGCCGAAATCAAGAGCCACCCAGGTGCCCCCAAAGTGAGTTACTTTTAAAAGAGGGTGCTATTAACAAGGACACCACGAAAACAGGTATGAAACTGGGTTGTCTGAATATCCTACCATAATCCCTGAGTTTACTTTTAAATAACACATCATCTTAAGAGGCATTAGTCGGTGAGAATATTTTGTTATAGTCCAAACACAGTGACAGTGCTTTAGAAATGGAACTGGGAGTAAAATGTGGAAAATGCTGTTGTTTAGGAGGGAGCTTATTACCTTTCGTTAGCATTAAAACATTGATGCTGGTGTTCTCCCTGTTGTCTTCCTTCTCTCAAGCTAGAGTTATGTTCCTTTGGTCCAGAAAGACTGGGCAAAAATTCCTTATAATAGAAATCTTCCAGGTCTAATAATTTTCCCCGACTGTAAATAAACACATAAACACATCATAGTTTCAATCTACTTTACTCAAACTTATAGGATACTGGCTTTCTTCCTTTACCTTGTATAATTTAAAAGTAATACCTACATGTCAATAGAAACAAGAGGAGTCTTGGAATGCATAAAACAGTATACACCGTAAGTTAAAAAGAAAAACAAAACCCTCATCTCTCACCTTTATGAGAACATTAGCTGCTGGAGCAGTTTTTCCTGACTTCATCTCATACACCAAGGCACAAAACTAGTAGAGCTGGTGATTACAAAGTTCCCGTCTGGCCGGTCTAGGACAGGGTTTACAACTGACGCTTGGGCCATATGAGAAAAACTTTATGTGCCAACACCTAGCATTTTCCGATTTTCTCAGCCATCCGGTAAGTACACTGCTGCACACAATGTTTCATGATCTTACCTTACTTCCTTCATAGGTTACCTTCTGTCGTCTCCTTACGGTTGGCCTTTAGTGGGCTAGTTTCTGTGCTAAGTTAAAACTTAGTTCCTGCGGGGCGCCTGGGTGGCTCAGTCGTTAAGCGTCTGCCTTCGGCTCAGGTCATGGTCCCAGGGTCCTGGGATCGAGCCCCACATCGGGCTCCTTGCTCGGCAGGAAGCCTGCTTCTCCCTCTCCCACTCCCCCTGCTTGTGTTCCCTCTCTCGCTGTGTCTCTCTCTGTCAAATAAATAAATAAAATCTTAAAAAAAAAAACAAACTTAATTCCTGCACATGATATACACACAGGGGTGTGTCTGTGACCATCTTAATTCTTGGACTTACTCATACTCGTTCTGGTTCCTGCGGTGCTCAGTGCCTGTACTGTGATGGGACTTCATATGAGGTAAACAGATAGAGGTCTGGAAGACGACCAAGTGTTACAGTGTTTCTGGGGAAAAGTGCTTTTTGAGTTACAGATACCAATTTACAAATGAACTTTCAGAATGCCACTGATACGTAAGTCAAGAGCTCAGTGAGACTGGTGCTTAACAGAAGAACCCTTGATTGTTATTAGCACTCTCTGGAAGTCAGTTAATTGCAATAGTGGTATAATGTTAAAATAGGCAAGTATTGGAGGGCTGAAATGTTCCAGGAAAAGGGGAATAGTGTGAGCCTAAGTTGCCACACCTACAGGCTACACAAACCTTATTTCCTGACAAACCCATAAACATTGTAAGGAGTGAGATTTAGCACGTGTTGAAGAACAAAAAACAAAGAAGTTTGGGGAAAGAAAGTTCATGGACACAAGTGTGTTCAAATTGTCTGATCAAAAGCATATCAATGGACAAAGAAAAGCAAATTCTGTACTGGGACAATACAATTCATTCATAAACTATTTGAGTTCTTAATGTATGCTTCATACTATGCTAGCTCAATATATTTCTTTTTTTTTTTTTTTTAAAGATTTATTTATTTGAGAGACCGAGAATGAGAGAGAGAGAGAGAGTACATGAGGGGGGGAGGGTTAGAGGGAGAAGCAGGCTCCTCGCCGAGTAGGGAGCCCGATGTGGGACTCGATCCAGGGACTCCAGGATCATGACCCGAGCCGAAGGCAGTCGCTTAACCAACTGAGCCACCCAGGCGCCCCTAGCTCAATATATTTCTAATAGGTAAGATGATCTTCTAAATTACATATAAAGCATATATTTATAACATAAATAAATGTATTGGGAGGATGCTACTTTCCAAATCTATCCACATAAAATAGATGATTTTTTTAAAAAGGTGATTTTCAATCATAATTTGAACATTTGGAATCATATTTATATAATTTATTTATATAAATATATATTTATATAATTATTATTTATATAATTATATTCAGATGACACTGAAATCTAGAAATAATAATTTACCTATCTTTCCTTGGTCTTCGTTTTTCTTCTTGGATTGACTTCTAAAGGGAACAGAAAAAATTAAAAAATCAATATAATATTATGATTAAAATAATGTAATTGATTAATAGAAAATAATTGATATATTTACTATAATCTTAATATATAAATACATTTGTTCCTATAAAGCTAACTTAGAAATAAGCAAGCGGATAGAATGTTTTAAAAATCTAATGAAATATAATTCACTCAAAATTTGCTAATTATGAATTTGTGATTATTTTTTTACCAGGCCTGGACTATAATTAATCTTTGCATTCCATGCCAAAAAAAAAGTTAACCACACAGTGAGCAGTATACACAAGTATACAAATGGGAAAACATATGTCAGAATTCCTGGAAAACCTGTCTCTCTATCACACATGCAGCTGTGAGTTAGGCAGGTTGATTAGGCTGCTTTGATGTCTCGCTTATATGTCATCATTGTCTGCTGGCAAAGCAGATGGGTGGACAGCGAAGGCAGGTGCAACAGTCCACAAAAGAATAGAAGTGTGACTTCACTAACCTATAGGAGCCCATTTATGGCATAAAAGTAACAGCATAGATGATATATGTGTTCATTTGCAAATTCTTCCTCCAGTTGAGAACTTGATGTATCAAGGCACAAATCAGAATACGTGAGCCTGGATTTAATTAGATACTTTTTAATCAGTGCTTCAATCTGAACACTAAGGAAATGGTACTTCATTTTACCTTACATACAAAGCAGTATCACCTTTTGTATTGTAACACTAGTAATGTGTTTCACTATGTGTGCTGGTGCAAGGTATTTGGACTCCCCTATTTACATGCTGCAAGAGCCTGTCTGTCTTTTAGGCTGAGAGAACAAATTGCACACTCACCTTGAACAAGCTAAGGATACTGTAATCATGGGAACTCTAATGCAGATATCAAGCTGCTCCATAAAAATGCAAGACAATAAAAATGGCAACTAACAATGGTTTGTAAATATTGAAGGTTGCCCCCAGTATTTTTAGGCATGCTAAATCATCTTTTCTCATGATTTATCATTTGTAATACACTAAAATGTCAGATGAGTCAAATGGTTCATAGTTTCATCTCTTCTTCTTGGTTGGTATTTTAGTGGGTGGAGGAGGGAGAAGGGAATGTTAAAGGTATCAAGTCTGGGAGTGGATCATTCAAAAAGTAACCAGGTAAGGGGCAGGACACCAAATACATTCCTGTCCTCCTTCCTATTTCCTATTCCATTCTTGATCCAATGCCCCGGGCCAGGAGGTGCTCACAAATAATCATGTTGCCGCCATAGGTACAATGGCCCCTAACAGCCTAGTGAATGATCCCTGCACCCCAGGTGGTGTTTGTTGTGGTTGTTGTTTTAATATGACAGAGGTCCTGCCTCCTTGATCCACTATCTGAAAAAAATGTCTCTTGTTCTTGGTAACCATTTTCTATAATCCAAAGTTATGTTTAAATGATGGCGTTCTGTTGAGTGACGGAGATCCCCTTTACACCACCACGAATCAAATAACCTTCTGCCCTTAAATTCTGGCACCACGAATCAAATAACCTTCTGCCTTTTCTTCGGGATCAACATTTCCCTCTGGGAGGCGGTGTATATAATTTGGTTCTCAGTTACAGGAATTCTTAGAAGAGTGAATACTGTCCAGGCTTATGCTTATTTCACTCTTGCCTGTGCCAGAATATTCTAGTGAACTATCACTCGATAATATATCTTTCCAAAAATTATTTAAGGGGGTTTATCATGGAAGCAATTACACAAGCAAAGTAATAAAGTGGAAGTTGTAAATAAGGAACAAAGAGGGCAAAAGTGTAGGATGGAGCCTTATGTCTGTCCCTCAGTGTCCTGGCAGCTGGGGCTAAAAGGGATGCACGAAACTGCATTCTTCATCATGAAGGCGGAAGCATATTGTCCCTCAAGGGAGAGGATTTAATACAATACTAATCTTATCACCTGGGACTTAATATTAGTGACATTTATTTAAAACAAACAATGTTTTCAGCGACAGTTCTGAAATGACAAATCACTAACTTGAAATTTGAAATGAAAAGAAAGAAGCAAATGTCTAGTGGCAGTTTCTTGTAGAGTTAAAGAAGAGAGAGCAAGAAGGAGATAAAGATGGTATAAGGAGGAGATGTTCTGGGGCGGGTATTTCTTGAGGAGGTCTTTGGAAGAGGGAGGCCTTTGCTCAGAGAACTCTGAAGAATCTCTTCCTCAGTCAGCTACACTACAACCTCTCCCCAGAACTTTAAAATTCATATCTGTTACATTATGGTGGACACAATCTTACATTCCTATGGAAATGCATGAACACTTTATTTGCTTAGACGGCTTCACAAGGATGAAGGAGGAGCCAAAACATAGAAGAAGAAAAAAAACCACATCCCAAGTGGCCAAACTACCTACTCCTCTTACTTACCTACTAGTTTAGGGAAGGTACTGGAGAAAATAATAAAACTGGAAGGTCCTTTGAAGTGACTGTGTTTAGTTAGTCAGTTTTGGAGGAAACTGTGGACTGCACAGCTGAGTACCAGAGTGGGCACCCCACACTGAAGCAATGAGCTGTGTGTGCTCAGCTCAGGTCCTCCTTAGGCTCCTGAGGCACGCTTCTTAGGCTCAGCTCGCTCTGATTTTGGACACAAAAGTAGCAACGTTTCAGGAGCACCTGGGTGGCTCATTCGGTTAAGCATCGACTCTTGATTTCGGCTCAGGTCATGATCTCAGGGTCCAGAGAGCGAGCCCCGTGTGGGGCTCCTTGCTCGTGGGGAGTATGCTTCCCTCTCTCTCTCTCCCTCCCTCTGCCCCTCCCCCTGCTCACGCTCACTCCCTCTCTCTCTCTAAAATAAATAAATCTTTAACAAAATAGCAACGTTTCCTAGATGTAAGAGATTAAGAGCATCACATCATAGAAGACAGCTGGTATTGGTTTCAGGTGCTCAGAATGACCATGGAAAGAAGGGACATCCAAGCAGAAACAAGAACTACAGGAACAGGGGAAGCACCTGGGCGCAGAGCTGTTTGTGTGGGGAGGGGCAGGGGCCTCACCGCCCCCCCCCCCCCCGTGTCCCCACCCCAGCTCAGCAGCCCCGGCCAGCGGGGTGAGGCCGGGGGGTACTGCACCGCAACAGAGGGGCTGTAACAGCTAGCGAGTCCCTGCCTTCGCTCAGCTCTAGTCTGGAGGGAAGAGTCAGGCAGGAGGAGAGAACACATATATTTCCTCATCTCTGAAGAAAATGAAGCAGGGCCAGGCAAATACAGAGAGATGGGGCGCTACCTCGTAAATCTAAATAAATACAACCATTTTTCCTCAGTGGCCTTGGGTCATCAAGAAAAGGTTTACAGTGTGTAGTATATTTTAGAAAGAGTTTCATGAAAACCATTTAAAATTACAGAAAGTGGTTTTTTTTTTGATACACAGATCTTTTATTATGTATGAATCATGAGTTCATGTTCCTCTTTCAACTCAAATGCTTTAGCGGAAGTTGCCTACAATGCATAAAAATCTTCACTTGTTTCATACCTCATTCCCTAGAGCAACATTCCCTGTGTCTGTGGGTATCGCTATGTGGTCTGGTTGTTTCTTAATGAGGAGGGGGGTGAGACGTGGCGGTTTTGGGGGGTTTCTAATACCATAACCATTGCTTTCTTTTTTCAGGAACTGTATCCAAATCCTTGCTTCACTTTGCTCAACAGAAGTGAGGTGCTTGGTTTGTGTTTTAGTCTTCTCTTCTTTGGATGCCGCTGGTCATGCCACAGATAATAAAGAATACAACTCTTCAAAAGTCTTGAGATTTATAGATGGCACAACACTTCCTATATCCCATTCCATCCTCTGGAAGAAGTAGACCATGGTGCTCTCTATCAGTAAGCCACTCAAGATGGCCAAAAGGAGAGCTTTCCGTTGATCTTCAGGGTCACTCTAATTGCCTGAACATTTGATGTAAGGACAAATACTGTAATGAGTCTGAGGCACAGGAGTGTGTCATCATGTTCCCAAATGACAGCTGGAAGCAGCAAGAGTTTTCCATAGCTAGATCATAATAACGTTTTCAACAGCAAAATGAAGTTGAGTTTCTTTTTTTTCCTGCTGTCGTCGGTCATTCTACTTACAGGAAAGTAAAACATGCCCACAAAAAAGCGCAGTTTGTTCTAGAGAAGCAATTACAAACATGCTGGAGACATCCCACTCCTTGGTATATCTGATTAGGTCATCAGGGTCAGTGTTCTGGTTTGAACCTTAAAGCCGCCACCACCTCAGGAATGCTACACAAAGCAAACAAAATGTGCAGAGTTGTCCCTGAATGTTTATTTTAGTACTGAAAAGAAGATGCCTGCAAGGCCTTGGCTTTGCATAAAATCGCATTAATCAAGATGATAACAGGATCATACCTGATATGTCTGTCTACAGGCTTTAAGGCAAGATTTGCAGATGGTTATCTTCAGCACTCCAAGGTTATCGGCTCCGTACAATTCCTCGGCCCCCTGGTCACATCAGATGCACCTGTCCTGGCAGGCAGCCAAGGCAGTCGTGGGAGTAGCTACCACCCCCTCCGTGTCCCGCTCGGCCAGCCGTAGCCCGCCCCACCCACTGGTGCCCACTTCCGAGCTACTACAGCTGAGCCCGAAATTCCAGAAAGTGTTTTCCTGGTTAAAGGACGTGGGTCCCCTCAGAGCTATAGATTTCACTATGCGTCATGCCCCAAATTTGGGTAAGGGCCAGATAAATATGAACACATGGGATGTTGTCGCTTATACTGATATCTTGGGTTTCTGTGCTTTATTTTTCACAGAAGCCACAGATTTCAAGACTTAGGGTTATAAAAAGGATTCCAGTCGCTGATAGTTTAAGAGGTATTAAACCCTTTATGTTCATTTAAAAAAGAATAATACAACGGCAAAGTCAACTTCTTGAGGGCAGGGACTCATTTGTGAGGCTCAGGATCTGCTGCACGATTCCTGCTGAGCGGGTGGTGGTCAGTAACAGACACGCACCTTATTTCAAGCTCTTAGAAATTCTCATATCAAGAGTGGCATCTGTCGTTGAAGCTCTCATGGTCAATGGTCATTCGGCTGCAGTTAATAAAGGTCACTGAGCATCCTTTACCACTTATATTCAGAGTTAAGAGGGAATGTCTGGTAATTTCTAATCTTGTTCTCTGCTCTTCTTTCTATTTAACCACATAAAAAAATGTCAGGCTATGTGCTTCCTTTTGGGGTGGGCAGAAAAAAGTCTGTTACCAAGATTTTTTTAAAGTAATAGTCAAATGGAGCTATCTGGACTTTTCGCTTCCTTGATTTACTTCTAATTGTATTTCGCTCACATTGCACTGCGCTCGTTTGTACCACAAATATTTATTGCACGCCGACTATGTGTCAAGCTAAATGCAACAGGCAAACTCCTTGACCTCGTGAAAACCACGTTGGTCACTTTTTGGTGGGACACAGCGTGGTGACATGGAAGCATGGACCACTTAGGGAGGACACAGGAAGAGCTCCTTCAGGACTTGGGAGTATCAGGAAGGCTTCCTGAAGAAAAAGACATCGAGGATGGGGGTATTTTGTCCCCACAAGGTGAGAACAGAAAAAGGAAGTGGTTTCTAGGCGGAGGACAGAGCATATAGGGACAAATGTCTATGGACAATGTGAAGACCAGGTATAGCCTAATGAGAGGAAATGGCTGGAGAGGAGAGAAAAAGGGGTGAATGAATGTCAGGAGTTGAGGTTGGAAAGGTAAGCAAGGCCCTCATGTTAACCAGCCCTTCTATCATAGGACACTAGGAAGTCATTACAAGGTTTTCCATCAGAGGGGTAGCGTGACCAGATGTTAATTTTAGAAACACAACTCCGACTACAGTGTGAAAGACGTATGAACAAGAAGGGGAGCAAAACAAGAGAACAGTAAGAGGGGGGATAGATGCAGAAATATCAACTGGGAATGCTGGCCTGGAGGAAGCTGTGAGCATATGGTGTGGAGAGAAACAGAAATTCAGGAGATATTTAAGAGGTAGGTTTTTGGATATGGAAGATGAGAAAGGGGGAGAAGTCAGGATAATATTCTGATTACTGGTTGTGAAAAGAGCCAGTCATTCATTCACAAGGCCCGCATGTCACGCATTTCTATTTATATGAAATGTTCAGAACAGGCAAATAGAAAATAGATGAGTGGTTGCCTGGGGCTGGAGGGAGGGGATGGGGGATGACTGCTAATGGGTCTGGAGTTTCTTTTTGGGGTGATGGAAATGTTCTAAAATTGATTATGGTGATGGTTGTACAACTCTGAATATAATGAAAACCATTTAATTGTATATTTTGGGTGTGTGAATTGTATGGTATGTGATGTATCTCAACAAAGCTGTGTGTGTGTGTGAGTGTGTGTGGATGGATGTCTATGCACATCCATGTGCAGTATGTGAAACAAACACTAGCCAGTTTGGGATCTGAATGTGGAGAGAGATCTAGCCAGAGGTAAAGATTTGGGAATCAGTAGTAACTGAAGAAATGAGAGGAGAAGAGAGTCCAAGATTGAACATGAGGCAACACCAAGGTGGAGAGGAGCCTTCCAAAGATACTGGAGAGAAACCCCCAGAGAGAGGGGAGGACTAAGAGGCTGTTTGACTTGGAAGTCAAGCAGGAGCTCCATTTTCCGCCAAGAAGTGGGGGAAAATTCCAACAGATGGGAAGCACTCTCTGGGGGCAGAGAATCCTTGCTCTCTCCCTTTGGCAGTGGGAGTGGAAGAGGGAATAAGCATTATAGAGGGAAGGACCAGCAGGTGCAAAGGACTAAGGAACGTGAGAGAAAGGCCCTGTCTGGCAGGGTTTCAGGCAGTTAGTGGTGGGTCGTGGATATGGGGGCTGGAGAGGGGGCCGAAGAGCAGTCCCAGGGCCAATGGGGAGGGCCTCTGCAGTGTCTGGACTTCCTGCTGAAGGAACTGCTGAGCTCTCAGAGGAATCCTCAAGGGAGGAACCCACTCACAAGATGGTCTAGAGAAACACTCTGGTAGGGGCTGGAGACGCCATGATAGGAAGCTTGGAATATCCTAGGTGAGGAATGATGATGGTCTGAAGTAGAGTGCTGCCTGTGGGTCAGAGGCAGGGCATGAATAGGAGTGAGCCTTGGCCAGGAGAAGCCATGCTTTAGGGGACAGATTGGATGTCAGGAATGAGAGAGAGGGCAAGGTCCAGGATGACTCCCAGGTTCTTGGTCCGGGTCCTACCAGTGGATGACGGCGGCATTCACGGAGAGGAAGGGCAGGCTTGCACACAGGGAGTAAGCTGCAGAGTCAGAAGACCTGAGCGTAGCTAATAAGCCTGGCAGCTCTGGAGTGCTTATTGGGTCTGAGTCCTGACTAGTGAGAGGACACCACCTTAAGGGCTATTCATAGGATTAGATGTCATAGTGTGCATGAACACCCCTCCCTCTAGGCCTGGAATTTAAAAGGTGCTCAAGTAAATGTCTCCTTCTTCATCTTTCCCTTCCTTCTTTTCCTTAAACTCTCCCTTTGACCTGAGTCCCTCTCCTGTTACGATGTATTTCTCTTTCTGGGTTGGTATTTGCATCTTAGCTCTATTAATGTACCAGCAGAGAAGACTGCTGGAGGACAGGGGGTTTACAGGACTGTGGGGGAGGCTTGGACCAGGAGGAAGAGGGGTGTTAGTGGATGCTATGGCTCCCATCTGATAGTAAGAGTGAGCCACTTACATGTAGCAGATAATAGTATGTGGAGTCCTCAGGGTTATTTAATGTTTTGGGTTTCCGGGGCCGTCTTGGGGGTCTCAATATTTTTGGTTCTTCTTCTTTAGAGATACCTACAAGAAAGGTGATCATAAACAAGTATTCAATTACAAAGACTACTATCAAGCAAGGTCTTCCTTTTGGGGGTAAATAAGAAATTATATACATACAACAGGGGTTCAAGATGGGAGAAAGAGGAAAGACCTTTGGCCCCCCAACCAGCCCTTATCATATTCCTCATCACACGTTCCTTCTGATTGTTTGGTGGTCTGGGGCTTTGAGAGATAAGGGAAAGAAAAGCAGGGCAAGAAAAGAAATGCATAGTTTGGTAATGTGGAATAGCATACAGAAGTTCAGAGGATGATGGGGAGAGGAGTCAAAGCTACCAGAAAATCCTTAAAAAGGGGTATTATGCCAAACATTTAAAGAAGAGTTAATACCTATTCTTCTCAAACTATTCCAAAACATAGAAAAGGAAGGAAAACTTCCACATTCATTCTATGAGGCCAGCATTACCCTGATAGCAAAACCAGATAAAGACATCACAAGTAAAAAGAACTACAGGCCAGTATCTCTGATGAACATAGATGCAAAAATACTCAACAAAATACTAGCAAACAGAATCCAACAATACATTTAAAAAATCATTCACCAAGATCAACCCAAGTATTTATTCCTGGGTTGCAAAGGTGGTTCAATATTCACAAATCAATCAACAAGATACATCACATTAATAAAAGAAAGGATAAGAGCCATATGATCATTTCAATAGATACAGAAAGAACATTTGACAAAGTATAACATGTATTCATGATAAAAACCCTCAACAAAGTAGGTTTAGAGGGACATACCTCAACATAATAAAGGCCATTTATGAAAAACCCACAGCTAACATCATCCTCAATGGGGGAAAAACTGAGAGCTTTTCCCCTAAGGTCAGGAACAAGAGAGGGATGTCCACTGTCACCACTCTTACTCAGCATAGCAATGGAAGTCCTAGCCTCAGCAATCAGACAACAAAAAGAAATAGAAGGCATCCAAATTGGCAAGGAAGAAGTAAAACCTTCATTACTTACAGGTGACATGATACTCTATATAGAAAACCTGAAAGACTCCACCAAAAACTAGAACTGAAAAATGAATTCAGTAAAGTCACAGGATACAAAATTAATGTACAGAAATCTATACACCAATAATGAAGCAGCAGAAAGAGAAATTAATAGGTATCAATCCCATGTACAACTGCACCAAAAACAATAAGATACCTAAGACTAAACCTAACCAAAGAGGTAAAAGACTTGTACTCCGGAAATTATGAAACACTGATGAAAGAAATTGAAGATGGCACAAAGAAATGGAAAGACACAGATGACTCACGGATGGAAGAACAAATACTGTTAAAATGTCTATACTACCCAAAGCAATCTACATGTTTAATGCAATTCCTATCAAATTACCAATAGCACTTTTCACAGAACTAGAACAAACAATCCTAAAATTTGTATGGAACCACAAAAGACCCTGAACAGCCAAAGCAACATTGAAAAAGAAAAGCAAAGCTGGAGGAATCACAATTCTGGCCTTTATGTTATATTACAAAGCTGTCGTAATCAAAACAGTATGGTATGGGCACAAAAATAGACACACAGATCAATGGAACAGAATAGAAAACCTAGAAATGGGGGCGCCTGGGTGGCTCAGTTGGTTAAGCGACTGCCTTCGGCTCAGGTCATGATCCTGGAGTCCCTGGATCGAGTCCCGCATCGGGCTCCCTGCTCAGCAGGGAGTCTGCTTCTCCCTCTGACCCTCCTCCCTCTCATGCTCTCTGTCTCTCATTCTCTCTGTCTCAAATAAATAAATAAAATCTTTGAAAACCTAGAAATGGAGGGGGAAGGAAAGATGGCGGAGGAGTAGGGGACCCTATTTCAACTGGTCCCCGGAATTGAGCTGGATATCTACCAGACCACTCTGAGCACCCACGAAACCAGCCTGAGATGTAAGAAGATCTGGATCTCTACAAACAGAATATCACAGGCAGTTGGTTTTGAGGTACGAAGCGGAGAGCCGTGATTCTGTGGGCAGATATCGGAGGATAAATGGCAGCGGGAGGGTGCCTGGATGTGGGGATCCTACAACGCCGGTGAGCGACAGCCTTGTGTGCTGCGGACGGGGCACAGACTTGCAGACTGGTAGCGGCAGGGAAAGGACTCTAGGGCAGCCCCCGGGGCAGAAACCCGGAGCGGCGGGGTCGCGCACGTGAACTGGGAGCGGCTGGCGGTTTTAGAAGCACAAAGGGCAGAGACATGCTCCGACCTGGAGGCAGGACTGGGGGCGCTGCGGAGGGGCGCACAACCCAGGATGCTGCGGTTTATAGCAGCACAGACAGAAACGGAGACGGTGTGGCCTGGAGAGCTCATTGAAGAACAGACTGTGGTCTCTCTGCTTTGAGGCAGAGGGTTGGAAATGGTCTCTTCTGCTCTGACTCACGGAAGAGATGCAGAAAGCCACCAGGGAAAGCCGCCAGAGAACAAAAGCCCCCAAAACTGATTCCTGCTGAGCCCATCCCCTGCCACAGGGGGGCAGGGCAACTCCGCCCAAACAGGGTTGCCTGAGTAACAACACGACAGGCCCCTCCTGCCGAAGACAGGCTGGGAAAACAAGAGGCCAGCAACCCTAAGGTCCCAAGAAAACAGGTGCATCTTGCTTGGTTTCTGGTCAATAATTTGGACTCTATACATTCCTTCAACCACCCATCAACAGAATGACTAGGAGGAGGAACCCCCAAAATAGAAAAGACTCAGAGATTATGACTTATGCTGCAGATTTACAAATGGATGCAGATATAACCAAGATGTTGGAGATGGATTTCAGGCTAGCAATTGTGAAGACAATGGCTAGAATGGAGAAATCAATTAATGGCAACATAGAGTCTCTAAGGGCAGAAATGAAAGCTGAAATTGGCAGAACTTAAAAATCCTATCAGTGAGATCCAATCTAATCTAGATAATCTAACAGCTAGGGTAACTGAGGCAGAAGAACAAATAAGCGACCTGGAAGACAATATAATAGATAAAAAGGGAAAAGAGGAGGCCAGGGAAAAACAATTCAGAATCCATGAAAATAGAATCAGAGAAATAAGTGACACCATGAAGTGTTCCAATGTCAGAATAATTGGAATCCCCGAGAGAGTGGAGAGAGAGAGAGGACTAGAAGATGTATTTGAGCAAATCGTAGCTGAGAACTTCCCTAATATGGGGAAGGAAACAAACATTCGCGACCTAGAGGCAGAGAGGACCCCTCCCAAGATCAAGGAAAACAGGCCAACACCCCAGCATGTAATAGTAAATCTTGCAAATCTTAGAACCAAGGAAACGATCTTAAGGGCAGTTAGGGGAAGAGATTCCGTACGTACAGAGGGAGGAACATCAGAATAACGTCAGACATATCCACAGAGACCTGGCAAGCCAGAAAGGCCTGGCAAGACATATTCAGGGTACTAAACATGCAGCCAAGCATACTTTATCTGGCAAGGCTTTCATTTAGAATGGATGGAGAGATGCAGAGCTTCCATGACTGGCAGAAACTGAAAGAATATGTGACCACTAAGCCGGCCCTGCAAGAAATATTAAGGGGGGTTCTATAAAAGGAGAAAGACCCCAAGAGTGATCTACAACAGAAATTTACAGGAACAATCTATAAAAACAACGTCTTCACAGGCAACATGATGACAATTAATTCATATCTTTCAATAATCACTCTCAACGTGAATGGCCTAAATGCTCCCATAAAACGGCACAGGGTTACAGATTGGATAAAAAGACAGGACCCATCCATATGCTGCCTAAAAGAGAGTCATTTTGAACCTAAAGATACATCCAGACTGAAAGTGAAGGGATGGAGATCCATCTTCCATGCCAGCGGACCTCAAAAGAAAGCTGGGGTAGCAATTCTTATATCAGACAAATTAGATTTTAAACTAAAGTCTGTAATTAGAGACACAGAAGGACACTCTATCATTCTTAAAGGGTCTATCCAACAAGAAGATCTAACAATTGTAAATATCTATGCCCCCAACATGGGAGTAGCCAACTATATAAGCCAACTGTTAACCAAAATAAAGTTATATTGATAACAATACGTTAATTGTAGAAGACCTCATTACTCCACTCTCAGCAATGGACAGATCATCTAAGCAGAAAATCAACAAGGAAACAAGAGCTTTGAATGATACATTGGACCAGATGGACCTCATAGATATTTACAGAACATTCCACCCTAAAACAACAGAATACTCATTCTTCTTGAGCACAGATGGAACTTTCTCCAGAATAGACCACATACTGGGTCACAAATCAGGTCTCAACCGATACCAAAAGATTGAGATTATTCCCTGCATATTCTCAGACCTTAATGCTTTAAAACTGGAACTCAATCGCAAGAAAAAATTTGGCAGAAATTCAAACACTTGGAAGCTAAAGACCACTCTGCTCAAGAATTTTTGGGTCAACCAGGAAATCCAAGAAGAACTTAAATAATTCATGGAAATCAATGAGAACGAAAACACATCAGTCCAAAACCTATGGGATACTGCAAAGGCGGTCCTGAGGGGGAAATACATAGCCATCCAAGCCTCACTCAAAAAAATAGAAAAATCCCGAATTCACCAACTAACTCTACACCTTAAAGAACTAGAGAAAAAGGAACAAACGACGCCTAAGCCACGCGCTAGAAGAGAAATAATTAAAATTAAAGCAGAGATCAATGAATTAGAAACCAGATGCACAGTGGATCAGATCAATGAAACTAGAAGTTGGTTCTTTGAAAGAATTAATAAGATCGATAAACCACTGCCAGACTTATCCAAAAGAAAAGAGAAAGGACCCAAATTAATAAAATTATGAATGAAAGGTGAGAGATCACAACTAACACCAAGGAAATAGAAACAATATTAGAAATTATTATCAACAACTATATGCCAATAAACTGAGCAATCTGGATGAAATGGAGGCCTTCCTGGAAACCTATAAGCTGCCAAGACTGAAACAGGAAGAAATTGACAACCTGAATAGGCCAA